GGTCTGTCACATCGTAAAAGCTGTTCAGGAACAGCTCAAGAGAGAAGACAGAGAGCCAAAGGCTTTGACCTCCTGAGAGTCTAATCCAATCAAGGATGTGACAGATCAACCCTGGAAGCCAAAGGATCCACTGTCCCAGACCAGTGTCGGGTGTCCCAGACCAGTGTCGGGTGTCCACGCTTTAACCGGTCAGAACTGTTTCAGCAGCACGAGGAGGACGTAACGTTTATGCTGTGGCAGGTGGATGTAATTAACAAAGGAGTTAACCATGAACGGTGGTTCAAGCCCATAAAGGAGGCCGTAAAAGTAGATTTTAAACTTTAAAGGAAACCAGTTCTCTCCTGGCAGATCTGGTTAGAAGCTGAGCTGCAGAGTTCTGAGTGAGCTGACGTCTCTCAGAGTGTTTTCTTGTTTTTTAAAGGCGCCCTGCTGAGACACTTCTTGTCTTTTTATACAGAATATAACAGCGAGCTACAGGTTGGTCTGCAGCACCGAGTCGGCCTGAATGTGCAGACGTAGCACAAGACTTATGGAGAGTTTAGAACGTCCCACCGAGTACAAATCAAAGCAGCTAAAGTCCAGCAGCTACTTCATTTGACAACTCTTACACATATGCAGGTGGATCTGTGTGAACATCATGAACATACAACTCTGTGTGTCCCCTGAAACAGTGAAGATGACACCAAGACTTCTAACTCCAGATGTGATCCAGGAGCTTATGGGTCAGTGGTTCTCTTTGGGTTTTGTAATAGTGTTTCTGCTCTTCTACTACCTACTTCACCAGCAACTCATCAGCCCTCTGCACCTCGTTTCAAAAGCACATTTATCATTTTAAAAGATCCAACCTTGCAATTACTCACATTAGGTTTTTCCCTTTACAAACACTTTCATGGAATTTCATCAGATGACAGTAAAACCTGTGGATGTAATCAGCTTCTTGTTTTGTTCACTCCAACACACCAGTAAACATGGTTTGAATCCCCAGGTGTGTGTTCTGTTGTTGAGCTGAACCTGTTATTAGGAGGTGGCGTAGAAGGACAGCTCGCTTCGTCTGGGATGCAGCAGCACGCCGTCGCTCTCTCTAAGCTCCGACCATGTCAGACTAGGAAACCACCAGGATCATGGATAATGCTTCTGCTGTGAGAATCTTCACTCTCTCAGGGATAAACGAGACGGTGAACTACAGAATCACCATCTTCTCCCTCACTCTGCTGTACTACGGCATCATTTTGTTTGTTAACTTTGCTCTCATTGTGATCATCGCTCTAGATGAGAACCTGCATGAGCCCATGTACATTTTACTGGCTAGTTTTTGCATTAATGGACTGTATGGATCCACAGGCTTCTACCCTAAATTCCTGTTCGATCTGCTGTCGTCTTCTCAAGAAATCTCGTATGAAGGATGCCTCTTCCAGGCGTATGTCATGTACTCGTTTGCTTGCTGCGATTTGTCCATCCTGGCGGTCATGGCTTACGACAGGTACCTGGCTATCTGTCGACCTCTGCACTACCACGCCTTCATGACTAAGAGGAGGCTCTCCCAGCTGGTGTGCTTCTCCTGGTTAATTCCTTTGTCCGTTTTCTCTGTCAGTATTCTGCTAACGTCTACAAGAAAGTTATGCAGCTCAAAGATTCAGAAGCTCTACTGTGTGAACTGGCTGATCGTTCAGCTGGTCTGCCCCGACAGCAACATCCTTTCTAATACTATAGTTTCATATACAACCATTTTTCTCTACGTGGTACACGGCTTCTTCATCATGTGGACCTACATGCATCTGATAAAAACGTGCGTGAGGTCCAAAGAAGACAGGCTGAAGTTCATGCAGACGTGCGTGCCTCATTTGATCTCTCTGGTGACGTTCATGTTCGTGATGCTTTTTGATCTGATGTACATGCGGTTCGGCTCCTCGTCTTTGCCTCAAAGTCTCCAGAACTTCATGGCTTTAATATTTCTGCTCGTTCCTCCGGTCATGAATCCTCTCATATATGGATTTAAACTGACCAAAATACGGACCAGAATTCTGGGTTTGATTTGTGTTCAGAGGAAATGAACTGATGCTTCATATATGCTGACAGTGAACATTGTTCCATCAGCACATGCTCATTAAAAAACATTTAATTTTCATTCTCTGATGTTATTTCTGCTATATGACAGCCAAAATAAGATATACGGACATGTTTGTGGCTCTGCTTCTAAATTAATTAGAAAGCAAAGACACAAACACACAAATATGTTTTTACTGTCGGTAATTAAAAGCTGCCGTCTTAAACATTTAACTCTTGAACTCCTGCTTGTGTCTTATTGTGAATGCAATTATAGAATATTTGAGTTGTTCTGTATGCGATGCACACAGACCACAGTCATGTGATGTGCAGAGAGACTTTCTGTGACAACTGCCTAAAAGTGATTTAATAAAAAGACAAACATCAATTCCCCACTTCATTTTAAAGGAATATGTACCAATGTGTTCTTAGAAGTTGTCACACAGAAAATCATCTGTCTGGTAGTTGTAGTTGTAGTGCAGGTTGCATCCTGTCAGCTGAGAAAACAGATGGATGGATTGTCTGGAGCGCTGTGATCGCCCTCTTGTGGCCTTTTGTTTTTTCTCAGTTACCTGAGTGGTGGTGATCTGAGCTGATTACTCCTTAAGGCATTATTTTAGTTTGACTCTCTCCAGAGGAACGTAATATAGATGCTACCTTAAAATTAAACTAACAGCGTGCAGACCTTCTCTTTTTATTGTAAACTTTACCAGCATGGAGCCAAACCAGCCTGAGCAGAGGTCAGCAGCAAACACCTGAGAGGATGTTTGGACCCTCCAAAGCAATTTAGTTCTTCTTTTTGTGCAGCGATGTTTTAATTCACTGAGAACATGAAATTAAGAAATTAAAATGTACATTCTCAGTCAGTCATTCAAGATGACTTCCAAAACCTTTCACAGTGATAACTTGTGCCCTCTTCTTATTTGGACAATTAGACTTCTCGACCCTTTTTTTTTCCTTTTCTGGAGTCATGACTCAGGCTAAATAATAAATCCTTATTTAGAAGTTGCAGTAAAAATATATTAAAGCTACTAGATCAACATTGTTTTAAATGTACAGTATATAGGTTAATAAATATCCACAGCACCTGATTGAAAGCTAAATCTACACAGATGACAAACAGCTTGAGTTACGATTACAGGCCACAAAGAGCTTTTAGAACAGTGTGCATTGAATACGGTGGTCATAGACAGTCTTATGATCCAGATTTAAGTGCAGATTTATTTTAGTTGCTAAAATGTTCAAAAAAGCAATTAAAATCCTGAAATGTAATTTTGTGCATAATTATAGTCTTTTTTTTAATAAAGCCGTCCTGACAGCTCTGATGGAGTTCAGCTTTCATCCAAAGAAGCTTTAAAACCAATAATTCCCCCACAGCAGCCTGGGATCTGTGTGGAACAGTTGGCATGTCGGGTGTGAAGAAGAACATTTTTACCATCAGATCCTGTTGTCATAAAGGCCACATGTGTAAATACACCGTCAGCAGTGATCACTTCTGCTGCTGTGAGGCTGCAGGTATCATCTGAATATCTTCGACCTGCTGACTCCCGGCCAAAGCTCATGTAATATAATGTAATATTTATCATGTGGTTTATGTTTTTTTTTATGTCTTTATGTTAAATACTCAGTGAGCTTTTGAATTGCCCCTAGGGGATAAATAAAGATATTTGAATTTGAACTGAATTTGAACTTGAAGTCACAGGAAAGACTCACAGGCAGCTGTGTGGTGCAAACAGGACTTCAGTGGGTGTATTAATGTTTCTGCCAGATGAACAACATTATGGTTTCAGAAATGAGCCAAGCACATTTCAGACCTGCCACGGTTACATTAATAGCTGTACAGATAGTTTTAGTCTGACACTCGTAAGCAGAGTGGTGCTACCTGGACACAAGCCAGAGCAACTCTGATGATGTCACCAGGTGTGTCAAGGTAATGCACTGTATGTTAAAAGGTGTCAGAGATACAAGGGAGGAGGAAAACAAACGTATCACAGGAAAGCTAATGTGTGCTGTTGCAGACCTCTGTGCAGTTCTATAGAAAGTATTCATCCTCTTTGAAGTTTTCCCCTTTTCTTGCTTTCATGGTCAATTTTTTTGGACAAGAAACTGCAAAACCTGCTGCTGAGCTACAGCTGATAATAATTAGTGCTGATCAATGCTTCTAGCAGAAACTCCTGTTTCTCTGTTTGACTCCCTCCTGAGGAAGATTCTGTAGATCAAAGATCTGCCTCAAAAGAGGAGGTTTTAAAAGGGAATTAAATCGTCTATCTGGAGTCTAAAAGTTTACAGACCTCCTTTTTTCTGTGAACTTTACCAGCACTGGACCCAAACCACCCTGAGCACAAGTCAGACATAATAAGTAAAACACCCACGAGGATGTTCAGGACCTTCAAAGCAATTTAGTTCCTCTTCCTGTGCAGGAATGTTTTAATTCACCTAGAACATTAAAAAAAACCTTCCAAAAAGCGTGACGTCAATCACTTTTTTGCCCTCTTGTAATTAGTACCGCTGGATTTCTTGGAACAGAATTTTCTTTTTCCTCCTCTGGAGTCATGACTCAGGCGAAACGAGAAATCCTGATGTTGAAGTTGTAAAGACATGTAACGGCCACTATATTAACTTTACATGTGCAGCGTATTGGTTTATGAATATCCACAACCTCTGACCAAGATCTCCATCGATAACGGATGCTTTAGTGAACTGAGGTAGAAGCTCAGACAACAAGTGCACAGAATGATGGTAAATAGTTCTATGATAGTTACCCAGACGCTGCGCTAGCAATCAGGAACTTTATCTCCACGACATTCATCCCAGGTCTCTTGACTGTTCCTCTGCTGGGATCTGGCTGCTTGGACCAGGAAGCAGCCCAGCAGAGCTCCAGCTGCAGCTCCACCGGCCGACCTGCCGTTCATCCCCGCGGTCGCCCTGAAGGAGGCGGCCACGACCCCGACTGCAGCTCCCAGCGCTGCACCTCCAGCCCTCAGCCACGGTGAAGTCCAGTCGGCCTCAAGCCGCCCTGCAGCGTCTCTCTGTGGACACAGAATCAGATGAACTATATTTATAAACATTCTTCTTTTCTCCTTGTACGTTTGGAGCAGGACGTAGGAATAGCAGGAATCATTTAGAATAATTTAAGGAATGTGTTAAGAAGAAAAAACCCCACAACAGCTCCAGGTTAAACTAGCGTTACAAAACTAATCTTACAGCATAATTATGACATTTTGCATCGATGTCTCTTGGACCGTACGTACATTTTCCATGTAATTGGACTTTTTAGTGTATGTGCAATAATAACTGTCATTTCACTCACCTTCTCATGAAGCGTGACGCCTTCATCCAACACGAGGCTTTTCTGTTCTGTCTCTGGAACTTAAAGAGTGTCAGTCAGTCAGAGGATCCTCGTCATGTTACCATCAGTGTTGCTGAGTCAGCTCATACTCACTGGGTTTGGTGGCGTCTCGATGGTGACTCGGCGGTATTGTTCTGGCCCATTTCTGTTGTCTGCTGAGCTCCTCCAGCGACTTGAGGTCCGTCGTTGTCTTCCTGCTGTGGTCACCTTTATAAACGTTCGCCTCATTCGTTTCTGTTCTCTGATAGTGTCTCTGCATCCCTTCGATCGTGGCCTTCAGGATCTTCTTGGTGTCTTCGTTTTCTCTGCTCAGCTGCTCGGTTTTCTCTTTGAGCTCTTTTGCTTCTCGTTTGTGAGCCGCCGTCATTCGCTCCAGTTCTTCGTCTTTCTCCTCACACTTTCTCTTTAAGGTTGCATTCTCCCGCTCTTGTTCCTTGACTTGTTCCTCCAGCATCTCCTGGTCCTGCTCACTTTTTAGCGTCGTAGCTTTTATGACGCCATCTTTGGCAGCACATGTGTCACTCAGGCTGGTTATCAGTCTGTCTTTCTCCATAATGACCTGTCTGAGCTGGTTCTTCTCCTCCTCGGCCTCTGCTAATCTCATGCTAATCTCTTCTTCACAATCTGTCTTTTGCTTTATTTCTCTCCTCCTCTCGGTCTCTGTTGCCAACTTCAGAGCTTCCTCTTTCTCTTTGGTTGTCTTCATCATGTCTTCTACTGTTCTTTCCTTCTCCTTGACTGTTTGTCTCAGGAGATCATTCTCCTCCTTTGCTTTCTTGAGCAGCCTCACAGTCTTCTTGGAGCTTTTCTCCAGCTTTTTATTGCTTTGCTGGAGATCCATAAAACTCCTCAGCAAGTGTCCGGTATCATTCCCCACCACCGTCTCCTCAATCTTCTCCAGAAGTTCTCTAACCTGGATGTCTCTGACCCTGTTGGAGTTATCAAAAACATGATACCGGTTTCCACATTTGTCCAGGAGCCACTGAAGAGCAGGCCACCGCTGGACGTGCTCCTCGATGGGGGTGGTCCCCAGACGGTCCCCCCAGGTGAACAACACGATGGCTCGAGTCCACACCCAAAGTCCAAGCAAGCTCAGGTGCTCCTCCGCTGTGATCCTGTCGGTCTCAGTGAAGGTCTCGTCGCAGCGTACGACCACCAGGACGGCGTGAGGAACAGGAGCGCACAGGGATGCACTGTGGGTAATCTGCTGCTGTAGAGCCTGCGGCGTGTCCTCAGAGCAGTACCGCCCGAACCAGCCGGGAGTGTCGACTACAGCGACTTGCTTTCCGTCAGCGCCGCCCCGTCTCTCAGCGCACTGTCTGGTTGGATGTCCAGCAGGAAAGACTTCATCACCAAGAATCGTGTTTCCGGCTGAGCTCTTTCCGACCTGCCTCGGTCCAACGACGAGAACTCGAAGCACCGGAACCGAGGGAGACTCTCCTGGATTTAAAACAAGTCAGAACACCAATGTTAGTTTCAGGGATTTTCATCTTGGAAGGATTTAATGTTTGGATAAACTTTGAAAAACAAGAATGACATCTTATACACATCCCATGTTCATAATTCAATGTTAAAAAGCAATGAAAGGGGGAAAGTTTTAAACCTCTAAGCTAATATCTGCTCTCCTTTTTGGTCTCTTTAGGACTAAACACTCCACTATGTTTGCCAGTGAGGTTCTAACTTTGTCTTTTTGTCATTTGGTGATGTACGGTGCTTTTGTTTTGGAGCTTTCTCTGCTTCAATTGATGCTGTGAGAGTGAAGATAGTGAGGTAAAGCAGACACCTCAACAAAGAGCTCCACAGAGCTGAGGGGAAGTGCAGAGTTGGGTTGGAGTTTATCCCTGAAAGTGACCGCGTTCACATCACACAGCGTCACATGATCCATTGTTATTATAAACATGATTGATTATAGCTGCAGTAAGCGATACTCACCCTTCAGAGAACCGAGTGTGCTTCTGGCCATCTGTGCATTCATTCGCCTCAAAGTCGCCTCCTCCTCTACCTCCTTCCTTTCCTTCTCACTTATCCTTGAGACTTCTGTCGAGGTCACGTAGCTAACTCCTCTTGACTTTACGTTTCCTTCAACCATGGCGTCGATCTTCTCCAAAAGTTCTGCAACCTGAGCGTCGTCGTCTTTTCCCCAAGTGCTCGTGTCTAAAAGCTGGTATCTATGTGCACACCTCTCCAGCACGGCCTTCAGAAACCCATGTTTTGCAGCGTAGCTCTCCACAGACGCCCCTCTGAGCCGCTCACGCCTGGTGAATATTACTATTGTGTTTGTCCACAGGGCGTCATTCAGCAGCTCCACAGGTCCCTCTACCGTCCACTCCCTGCCTCTTTGGGAGCTGACGGGGATGACCATGAGGAAGGCGTGAGGCCCAGGCGGGCACATGGCCATGCAGGCTGCCATGTTGGCATTCACCAGGCTGGGGTCTTGGACGGAGTAGTGGATCCACCTCTCGGGGGTGCTGACCACGACGACTTTACGGCCGCCGTCGAGAACACCTTGTCTCTTGACGCACATCTTCACGTCTCTGCTGATGTCAAACATCTGTCGGCCGAGGATGGTGTTTCCCGTCGAACTCTTCTCCAGCCAGTCGTGGCCCAGGAGGACAATCCTGAGCTCCTGAGGACAGGGTTTGTCCCTCGCTAGCGGACCAGACAACGCAACACAACGCAACAGTGCAATATATTACTGAATCAGTGCAAGTGATGTGAAGTCCTGCCAGTGGTTTCTACTGACTAACACTTAGAGGTGCACAAGAAACTGATTTTAAAACGGCCATTTAAAGTTGTCATGAGTAAGACCCAGACACACAAAGTTCATTCAGCTGAGTAACACCCACCACTAGCAGCTTTAATTCTGATATGTGCACTTCCAAAAGACTATAAATGCATCAATTTATGCCCAAAAACAGACAAAATGTAGATTAGCAGCATACCTTTCCATGTGTGTCCTCTGCAGGCCATCAGAACACGATCTTCCATCCTTCTTAAGGTCAAAATATTGGTTTACAGCCGATCCATTCTACCTGAAATCAATGTGTTGCCTAAACAGAGCAAAGCGAAGCCACATCGACCACCGTGAGCTTTAATGTTTGACTCAGCGTTGTGTGTGACGGCTGGTTAAAGTCCAGCCGGCACACACAACGCTGCTGAGGAGAAATACCTTATTATTAACACACAAAGTTAACGGCTCTGGAACACCGTGATTACGTTAGGTAGTTATTATCTGTAAGGCCAGAGTTCACTGTGATAATTTCCTCCAGTGGAACGGCTGTAAAAGGCCCTAAAAACGTGTTTTTAAAACCAGTTTCTTGCTGTGAGCTTTGAGGTGGGAACCTCTGGGAATATAACAGCCTGTTAAAGATAAGCAACATCAGTGAAACAGCCATATCTGGATAATGTAATCAGTTAAATGGTTAAAAAAAAAATAGACAATAGTGGTACATACTGCAATGCTTTTTGTATTTTAAACATTTCTTTCCTTGTGTGTGAAATTACTTTACCTCAGAATAATTGCCAGGATTACTTTTCTAATCTTTGACTTATTTTTTATTTTCAGTACTGATCTCATTTATCTCGTATCTCTCACATCCTGTACATTTTCTAAGTACCATCCTTTTTTGGATCATTACATTTTTATCCTCTTCTGTATTTATCCGTCGGTACTTCTTCCCCAAACCTTTTCCTCGGATGATTATTAAACTGCAATAAATTCAAGATCAACGTCAACATAACTGAACAATAACAAAATCAAGAATCACACTCTTCCAGCTCAGCTTCCCAGAAAGCCTTTTTATTCAGATTCAAATTCAGAGTTAATGCCACAGCTGTTGCATTGCCAGTCTGTAAAAGAGTCCCTGAGTCAGAATTAACTCGATTCAGTGACTGTGCAATAATGCACATCATGCAAAAAGTAAGTGACTACAGTAGGAAACCATGATTAATTACAAAGTCAGAAAACTGCTTCGTTAGCATCGTCTGTGACTACAGCCTTCTGTCCGTGGTTTTAATCAGAAGAGAGGCGTCGCTGGAGGTATTTACAGCTTCGTAGTGGTGAATATAGTAACCTCTGCAGATGTAAACTGCACCCAGGAGGACAGCTCAGTTTAAGTCTTCTCCTGCTGTAGCTTCTCCCTCAGTTTGGTTGTAGCCTGAAATCATGGTGCCGTCATTTAGAAGAGCTACTGTAAAAGGACAGAAGGGCGTCTCTGTCGTTTCTAAAACTGAGCGTCAGTCATCATTTACACTATTTACAAATTTTACAGTCTCTCAACGTCCCGACACGCATCCAGTGACGATACGTCCACAACGTCCCGGCGGACATGTGATGGACTCTCAGTTAATGTGTCATTCAAAAGGTCTAAAGAGCAGCTAAGTACATCTCTATAATTTTCTAAAAGTGAGCGTGACATTCATCATTTGTTATGTACATATTTTCAGTTTACACAGTTCACACACATGGCGTCACACTCGTGTGACTTTCTGCTGTTTTTCAGTTGAGCGTTGTGGACGTGTGGTGATGAATGGAGGAGGATGAATGCCAGTGTGCCTCTGTGGGAATGGTTCTGTTCATGGAGAGAAGATGGAAGGAGGAGATGGTTCGACTGGGCCTGTCCCTGCCATCAAACCGGGCTACGCTCCGGTTCACCTCCTCTGCTGTGTGCACAGAGAAACTCACACGAAATCCAAAGAAGTCAAACCAGTGAGAGTTGCTTTGTGATTAAATCCTTTAATATTCTCAAGTGTTTAAATCGAAGAAAAACATAAAAATAGCCGTAGAAAACAAAAGCCGATGCTAGAGGTGCCACTAACTGAATTATCGTTGAGGTTTTAAAAAGTGGAGCATCTAAAGCCGTGTCAATTTGATTCGATTCAAGAATTTCGTAGAGGGGAGAAAACAACCACAAGGTAGCAGTAGTTTGATTCATGTACGGAATTAAAAAACAACAAGCAGAAAAAAACATCCAGTGTAAAAAGTTTTTCCAAATACTCTGAACGTGTGAGCAGGATTCTGGCTGAATGATGGGATGGGTTGAACTGCATCTTCATCTGATGTTTGTTGGATTTCAGAGAAAACAGATCTTATAAAAGAACTACAAGGATCCTAACGCTCTCCACAAATATCTGAGGTAACGCAACTCAAAGTACCTTCGTGTAAAAAACGTGGGTTAATTAGAAACGGTATCTTTCGACTATGTTCGTTCTCATTTGTCTTAATTTCTTTATGTTAAAACTTAAGAGCAAGTGACTTGCTGGCGGCTAATCCCAACAACTTGCCTACTGTACTGGTGAACACAACTCTCAGTCCTTCACTACCACAGGGGTCAGCTTCTACATCTTCACACAACAAAACGAAGCAGCACTAATTAAGGCTTGCATGAAATCTGTCTGGTTTGTAAGAACTACAAGAAAGACGAAGAACACAACAGATCGCTGCTGCTGCTGCTGCTGGGGAGTGATGATCCCAAAAAAAATTAAGCCAACAAAACAAAACGTATGATTAATTCTACATGTGGCACGGGAAGGGGAAGGAGAGAGCGTGAACCAAAACGTCCCCTCCACGTCTTGCTACCATTATTTGCATCTTGGACAAGGAAATGTGGGGCGTCACATTGAGGAGGGGGGAAGAGATTTACTCCAGTACTGCAGCAGCCAACGTTTACTGAGACGCCATTAAAAACAATCAACTCTGGGATAAGCGACTCTAAAATTGTGAAATGTGTGAAACTGCAACTGTGATGTCACTGCGCTGACATCAGCTCCACAGTGAACACAGCCACAGAACTAAACCAACATCCACTTTAAAGATCCAAAGTGGTGTTTAAACTATTCACTCATGACGGTAATCGCACCAAATGAACGCATGCTGCTCCACCATGCGTAACGGGAGGAAGAGCGGCTCAGTGATCAAACATAACGGAGGTAAGAGGTGGGCGCCGTTTTTAAAGGGGTGGCGAATAAGCAATCCCTTGCCTGAGCAAGCTTGATTTAAGGCAAAGGTTAAAATATCATCTTCTAACGTCGCTATCAGGAGAGCAACATAATACGCTAACAGCTGCGCGGCTACATGAACACAGTTGGTGACCTTTTTCTGGATTCCAGCTCCGTCACATCAAACGACGGTGAGCTGCGTTTCGACCGTCGTGACCGGCATCGGGGTGGTGCGTTGGGCTGTTTGGGTGACTGGACTGGGACTGCTGGTTGAATTAACGTCACGTCTAGAAGGTTGGAGGATGTCTGATTAGAAATGGATGACGTGTGTTGATGTGTCTGGAGGGTTTTGGTGCTGCGGGCAACAAATGAGACCTGTAACAGATGGTAGGTTTCCTTGATAAGGACGGTTTTCACATTCAAAGCCCTTGCTGTGGTTGAACAGACACCAGCCTCTCCAAACCAGGATGTTAAGGGGTCAGCACACCAAGATCACAAATAAAAAGGATTCACCTGCTTGCTATCTAGCCTTACAGATAATGTGGACTTCTGAGATCCCTGCCCACAGACTTCAGCTGCTACGCCAGGACACTGAAAACGAACTGCATCTCACTGCTGCTGTTCAAACAATTAAACCCAAATATTAAATGTCTATCCCTAGAAACAACACCAACAGTTTCACTTTTACATTCAACATATAGCGTCTGCTGTTAATTTTCTTTTATGATGATTTCAGCAGCAGTAAAAGCTGATTCACCTTCACTGTCCCGGCATAACAGCTCAAATCTGAGCGGCAGACACCTCAGACCTGCGCCATATAATCACCACAGCTACCTGCCTGGCTACATGCGTCAAGGTAAGATGGTAAGTTTTGCATGATTTGGGTGAAGTGACCCCATTAAGGAAAAGCAGGCTGGGCCTCAAGGCACCGATTCCCATTACAAGTCCCACTTAGTGAGAAAAAGGAAGGGAGACGTCCTGCATGTTACAGACGGCTGTACCGGAAAAACGCTGCCCCTGGATAGAGGTTGAGAATAGAAAATGTGGATACTGGGGGTCAAAAGAATCAGCATGTCCCCCCACTCCCTGGTTGGCTGATGACTGTGACAGGAAGTGGAGGTAGTTGGTGCAGAGCAGAAAAGAAAAAATGGGCTGAATGGTGGTCCATGTGACCTCAGACATGTCGGGTGTTACTGAGATTGAATGGGACTTGGATGGGGGCTAGCTGGATTAAGAAAGATGCAGGGGAATACTGTACTGCATCTCCCCCTCCTTATGTTCTGTGATTCACCAGAGAACTTGGACCCCAGACCTTCTGTACTCTCTCTCGCTCTAGTGCCATTACAAATTTTTAACTCTGGTCTCTATTATGTTTTCACAGCTGGGTCTCCTCCCCAGCCTACCAACTGACTCAACAGTAGGAGGAGAATGGAGTTGGGTAGGGGTGAGACACCGCAGGGCGACCGTGCACAAACGGCCATACACGGGAGGGGGTGACACACTTTAGTTTTGTTTCTTGGCCTCCTGGTCGCCGTAACTGGAGCCTGTTTTCTTCACCTCGGTGACCCCTATGAGGCGGCGGATAGCTATGGAGGCTGGAACGAGAACAGAAGAAAAGCGTGAACGAGGAGAGCAATGGAAGACTTTAAATAGCAAGGCACCTTCAGCTCTTTGTCCCACGTAAGGACAAACGTCACCTACCTATGATGAGGAAGATGATAAAGCCGATGATGAGGAGAGGGGAGCCGCTGACGGCCACGCCACAAGCGAATTTGATGAGCGGCGAGAGCAGCAGGGTGGCCCAGAACAGGAAGTTGAGCAGCGTCCATAGCCGGCGAGGCGGGATGATCGTGGGTCCGGGGAACTTGCCTTCCTTGTTGTACCCTTCCTGTAAGGCATCCTGAGGGACAGCGACAAGAAACCGGTTTGCGCTGCTTCATTTGATTTGAAAAAACTCCCTTAAATCTGTCGCACGAGATCAGAAGAAAGCCAGAAGTACGGCGGAGCTCATTTAAAGGAACAAGACGTCGTGTTGGAAAAGGTTTTGGTATAAAGTGAAACCTCTGAAAACTTTCAGAAGTCAAGTGCGAAATTCCATGAATCTGTGTTTTCATGATATTTGGGACACGCTCGCTTTACTGCTCGCTCAAACAAACAAACTCCCAAAAACATTTCGTAACATTCTGGTCTTGTGTTGCGTAGACGAGCGATATGAGATTGGATTTGAATATCAGCTTCTGTGATGCCTCCTCTCTATATTTTGTGAACGGACGGAGCTTACCTTCTCCTGGTAGAGCTTGTGCAGCCAGTTGGCGCACTCCTGCTCATCATCTGGGATTTCCTCCACAGGGAAGCGCCTGGATGGGAAAGAGTAAACAATTATATAAAGCTGACAGTTTGGCATCAGCTTCACAGGAACAGAACTTCAGATTCTACCACACACACACATATAAGGACGCTTTCACCCAAAAATCAGACATCAGTTTTTGTCTTGACAGTCAGGAAGAGAACATTATGTACAGCTAAGAAAATTAAAAACAGAACTGATTCATTTCTGCTGCAATTTGCACTGAAAAGGAACAAAGCAAACTTTTGGTGAGATGCTTGATATTAACGATCATATAGTGATGGTGAGTGACCTTTACAAGAATCTTTGGACTAAAACCTGATGAACTCGATCACAAACTAATGATTTGTCATGGCACACTATTTTTTTGCTTCCTTGCCATTTTTTTCTCCTATTCATCATCCTTCCTGCTCACACGTCACGTCCACAGTCGTAAATATTAATCTGGATGATGGATGAGAGGCAACAAATGTGTGTCCGTGTCTTTAAAGGCCATGACATCAGCAAGAGAAAAGCTGAAGAATAATTAAGGCCAACCAACTTAAAAGAACCACTGATAAGTTCTATTCATGCATGATTGATACGCACAATAACCCACTCAATCTAATTTTCCTTCTGTGTAAGTCAAGTCACGTAATGGACAATAAGACGCTTCATGATCTATCAATCACAACAAAACAACACCAACACTTTCCATTTTCCACTCGTACAGCTTCTGAAAGGGTTTCATAAAAAACATCTCTCGTAGCCTGTAGTAGCAAACTCTCACCAACAGAGGGCTCCCTCTGCTAAACTGCACGTCCGCTCCGCTACAGCGAGCATCGGTTTTCATGCTAAGTGATTTCCGTCATTAAACCATCTGCTATGTTTAACTGCCTCCACATCACTTGACCTCCACGTATCCCACAGAACCCCAGAACTCTGCTTTTCATAGTTATGTGAGTAAAATCAGTCAACGCAGCATTTCTGTGATTTAATATTAACAAAACAAACGCTTCTTCATTTCAGCGGGAGCCTCCCTATCCGGTGCTCTTTAGTCGGGGCGCTGTCCTGTCCATCAGAACCATTGTCCTGAAACCATCAACACGCCGGGAATGCGGCCAGTCTCACCGTCTCTTTGATTGTTGTGGGGGTAAAACGCAACTGGAAGGAGGCCAGAGTGCTTAAAATTCATTCATCACTTTACACATGATGGAGCAGCTGGCAGCGTCGCGCCTTATTACGGCAAAAAACGATGATTTAAAAGCAACGGCTGGTTATCGGCGGCGCTCACCTTACGCTCATGTCGGCTTTGTATTTCTTGCCATTGACGATGCCCAGGAGAGTCGGGGTTTGGTTGTCTTTGAAGTTAAGAGTCACGTCGTACACAGCGGTTACTGCAAAAGAGAAGGAAAGACGATTGAGAATGAAGGAACTCCGTGTTCTTAACCTACTGAACCTCGGGACTGTGTTTATGTACTCCACCTGTGCCCTTAAGACAGTGCAGTGTGGTGGTGAATCCTTTGGTTCGGGGTAAGAGGTGATATTTGAGTTTGGGGAGGCCTTTACTCTCTGCAACCTGCATACTGATTTGGTGCTTCTTCTCTGTAAAGCGGGTTCCCTCGCAGTACAGCAGGAACTGTGGAGAGAGGAGAGCCGCGTTAATACACACACCTACAAATAAAAACTAAAAATCACAGGCAGGCTGACCTCTTTTCTCTTGTCCCATCCACTACCCTACTTCTGCTCGGTTGAATTACAGATCAAACTCGCCTCATCGTGAAATAAAGTCGCTATCTTATCTCGGCGGCATTACAGCAGACAGGTGGACGCGCTAACTATGTTTACCCGAACACATAGAAACTGTGTCATTAGCAGTGGCCTGATGCTTGACTTAGGGGGTAATTAGATCAACCGCTGATCTGCCTAATCTCGGCTGGAGAACCGGTCGAGTCACGGTGAAAATCTGTAACGCCGTTTTCAGGACGTGTGGGCAGCAGACAGTCGGACTCGCCGTGAATGCAGCCGCTTCGAGCTGTTTGCGCACCGTGGTCAGTCCAGTTCATGAAGTTTCACAGGATGAAAAAAACAACAAACGCACAACCTCCTGCTGAGACGTTTCAAACACAGCTGGTGTAACTGTATTTGTGTATCACTGCCAGCATCACACTAGGTTAGAGAAAATGGGTCAAAGGGCAGCGACTGCATAAGAACAGACAGAAAAATTACAGATTATCACAACTTATTCAGTTATTCTGGCCATTGTGGTGCGTGTTGGTAGTTGTGCCGTCACACCTGAGATGCGACAGCACCGGCAGTCATGTGATCATTTTTCAGGTTCATCAAACTTGTTTGGACAAAAGATAAAGAGCACACAGTAGGATGACCGGTCCAACAGCTCGCCGTAAATAGCTCACAGGTCAGACGTCTGCTTGACCTTTGATCCACTTTGCTTGCCGTAGTTGTGCTCACATAAGTTTTCCTGTGCAAACACGAGCTATTACTCAATTTATGGGCGACGGCTAAAGATACCAAAATGAGACCCATAAAAGTTTCAAAACACGAGAAACTTCATTCCAGTGACAGATGAATCACCTGATCGTGAATTTAGAGTCCTACGTGGAAACAGTCACACTTTAATAAAAAGATGAACACAGAAATTAATGCAGACAGGATGTTTCACAACCTCGATTGTGCAACTGGGTGAGAGTTGGTTTGATTTCAGACATGGGTTGCATTAGCAGACGGACGCCAAGGAGCTGCTAACTGCTGAGCCTTTACACGGACAACATGGTGATGGTACCTACCCACATGTATTCAGGATAGTCTTTGAGCCTTCCCAGTCCTGTGAAGACAGTATTTCGGTCCTCCTCCCACTTTCTTTTGCAGAATACAATTTCTAGAAAGTACCAGGTCCAGCCAATTAGAGGGACCTTCAGTAGCTCGTGTTTAGCTAGCACTTTTGAACTCTAGAAAAGGAGGGAAAGTGCAGAAGTTTAACAATTTTTTAACACTTAGGAGCTAAATCGTTAAGAGCAGCATATTATGTGGATGTGAGCATCACTTTAAAAGCTCAAAAAGTAGAGTTTGGTGTTGGACTGACCCCTAAGACGCCGTATCTTTCACACATGGTCCAGCCACACAGGAAGTCGATCTCGAAGTTGTGGTTGAGGATGATGATGGCGTGTTCCTTGCCAAACTTGTCCACCGTAGCCTGGTCGGTGTATAGGGTGCAATCTGTGCCCGACCACCACTCCAGCAGCATCACCAGCTCTGCACAGAGACGACGACGCAGCAGACGGTACATCGCTCATTATATCTTAATTATAAACAACACTTCAAGATACTGAATCAAAGCATTTTGTTTGTATTCAGTCCCACAGAGAATTACCAGAAGATCTGGATGAGTGTTTATTTTGGTGCAAATTTAATGTCTGTCATCTGGGTTAATAAGAGCAGTTCAGGCAAAAACGTCGAGCAAAGTCACAGAACATTACCTGCCCAGCACCGAGCTGCTGACAGACGGTCTGCAATCAAAGTATTTGTGCATGACGCGACTAAAAAAAAGCAGCCGAAACATTTTTTATATAGACTAAGCACTGCATTTCGTAAATAGCCCTTTACCTGCTGGATGTGTGACTCTTATTCTTGCTTTCATAATATCAAATATTACACTTGTAAAGCAACAGACAGGAGCATCATCTACTCACGGCTCCAGAGGGAATAGGAGAGCCGGCAGTTGATCCTGCGGTAGAGCTGCTTGTTGATCGGCCAGAGGACGCAGGTGCACAGCTGAATGAAGTTTATGATGAGGCCGCTCACCACAAACACAAAGCCCATCAGCAGCTGCAGGATGAACAGGCTCTTCAGGTAGGCCAGCAGAGCCATGGCTGAGGAGCCTGGAGAGCTGAGGGGGCTCCTCTCTATACACTACGACCAACCTGAGGGAGCAGAGAGAAAAACCTCACTGACAGATGTGGACAGTGAACAAAAGAGCATCATAAACACAAATAGGAACACAGGGTGGCAAACAAGTAGAGACCAAGAGAACAGCGTAGACAAAAGGATGCGTTTAAGTCTGCAGGAAAACGTTCTTAAACATTTAAAAAGACAAAAGTGATTCTTACCACGGTGGAACCCTTTTACAAGCCGCGTTTACACGGACCTTCAGCCAATATCACAGTCCTGTAATGACAGCAGAGGACAGACGCTGAGCAAACAGTGGCGGGAAAGTTACGTAAAGAGCAATAACACAACTGAATTTAATTAAGTGCACTGTGCATCAGACAGGCTAAATTATGTTAGCTAATAGCACAAGAAGGTCAGAAATAACCTCTGTGATCCTGAGTGTGTGTGGCAGGTTAGCATGGACCCAAAGTTAAACGCTGGAGCGACTCTGTGGTGAGTAACGTGGCACTACAGTACACAATGGTCTGACAAAGGCCTTTGTTTTGGCTGTCCTGATTTGATCTGAGCAGTGCGGGGGGCTAGCATGGTTGTAGATGTGCTCCAGGGAATGGACTTTATAAGTCTGACTTTGGGGAAAATTAAGTTTTTCTTAATTTTCAAAGGAAACACAAATTAAACTTAACATTTGACTTGACATTTGCACCTTTATATATATTTTTTAAATGCCACGCAAACATAAATCAAACAAAAACTCGCATGCTTTAACTTCAGGGTTTACGTTTGATCATCGCAGTTTATTAAACGTGAAAACCTGCTGCTCTTCGTAGTTTTGTCAGTTCACATTAAAACCCTTCAGCTTCTGGCCCGTTGGCCCCAAAGAATGAACTATATGAAGTTTCCATTGATCCTGAACATAATGAACAGCTGCAGCCCAAGACGCTCTGCCAAGAGCCCAGACACAGTCCTGCATTCGGAGCTCTGTCTGAGCTTGTGAGAGTCTCCTTTGGGTGCTTCCATGTTGCCCCGGCAGGTGAACGGGAAACATTTATTGCCCCTTGGTCAGGGTGTGACCATGTCTGTGTAGAAGATAAAAAAGAATGGACGTCTAATATTCATAAAAAGATGTCTACATGGTGTGTGTGCTGGTAAAAGCCAGGAGGCCGATGCTACGCTACATGATGTACTGCACGAATACACCCAGGCTTCATGGATCCCTGTGAAGTGATCAAAGCACTTTTTACATTTTTTATTTTTTTATAAAACTGTTGACAAAATGCATTTTTATTTCAGGTGAAAACCAGCGAGCGTCCATTAGGATGACCACAGGACAGCTAACCTTGATTGGACTGTTCCCACATCTGCACCAAAGCCCATTAAAGTGTAGGTCAAGCCAGTTTAAAGCTGTTCTCAGAAACATTTATAATCTGTGGACAACGGAGCCACTTCAGGACCGTCAGCCGGGCCGCCGCCTGCTTTGTTTTACACTAAACACACTGGGTTTTATTGTAAAAACATTTTAAACTTTAAGCAAAGTTTTTTCCACACGAGTTAAGCTTTTATACAGATAATATGTCTTTAAAAGTTGACTAATTGAGCAAGTCCAGTCTAAGCACAACTCAATTTACCTGCAAACAGGGAGCACTTTTTTGATTCACCAGAAATAAAAAGCAAAGCATCAATACTGCTCTAGTTCACAAAGTTCAATTGCAAAAGCAGGAGTTAAGTTTGCTCCTGATGATTATACGATTTGTTATGCAGCGTTAGCGACATCAGTACAGTCACAAGCTCAACTGTGTCAGCAAACCAGCAGAAAAAGGAAAAAAGGAGGCTGTCTGAGCGCTAGACAACAAGGGAGACAAACATTTAGTGCCAGCCGTGTGTCCCACTGACATAACAGTCAGACACACAGACACCGTCTTCTTCTGCCTGAAATTACTACTTTCCTTTAGCCTCGAACATCACCGTCTACACAGAGAACAGTACATGTCCAGAGTGAGAGAATACACCCACAGGCCGTCCTGCCCAAACAGCAAACACAGAGAACAGTGAGTGAAACCTGTTAAAGACGTATCAGGTGCATTCCTATCTGTGCACTTGTACCTCCAGTATTCACCATATTTCTTCTTCTCAGTGAGGAGCGAGCAGTCTTAATTTGAAGCACAGAGTTGACACGAGGCTACAAGATTATTGTGGGTCAACAACAACAACGTCTTGTCCAGTGCAATCAATCCCCGTCACACCGTGCAACACAATACACAGACTAATGAGATGGCCTGGGTGTGAAGGAAATGAAATCTTACATGCACAGGAGTTCAGCTCGGGCCCTCGGGTCAACACACACAGAAACGTTTACAAGCCTCTGCGGTTGCTGAAATATCTCTGAAGTGATGAAACGCTGCACGGTCGTCTGTGCGCTACGGTACAGACGTGACCTTTGGCCACAGTGGGCCACGGTGATGCTTCATATGTGGCTAATGTCACGCTAAATAAAACGATCACAGAGGCCAGCATCGTAATTATAACTCTTATGGGTTATGAGGAAGAAGAATTAACAGTTCCTGCATTGTTAATAAACCTGATAGTTCATCTTTCAGTGATAACGCAGCTTATCAGGAAACTGCAGGCTGTCGGATAAATGAGGAACGGAATCTTTAAAAAGCTTCTCTTAATTTCAAATTTGTTAGTTTAATGTGTGAGGTTACCCAATTTAATGATGACAATAAAGTAAACCTGCCTTAAAATACACGTGTGTGTGATCTGATACTGGGTAAACTCTCCTTTTTATTATTTTAGTCTGTCTGCTAATCATCGACTCTATCCATGTTGACATTTGGTAAATCGGTGAATTCCATCTTAACAAAACACTAATCTGGTTTGAAGAATAACATCATATCTCCACACCTTGTTCCTTTCTGCTGTGGTTAGTGTTTATAGACCCAAACTTCTTGACTTATTTCTGCGATCGGTTGCTGTCAGCGGGCACCGTTTGGCCACAAAGCAGCCAAAAGGAGAAGCTTCCTGGCGGACTTCTGCTGTGGCAACAACTTTAATGCGTGACAGTTTAGATAGAGAAACCTTCAAAAGCGCTGTGAACTCTGCTCCAGTTTTTCTTCACATGATCTTTCTGCTGCTGTCTTTGAACATGCCTGCAGTCAAATAGAGTTCCCACACACTGTCATTCAAGGAGAAATCGAGGCCTTCATTCACAGAACTCAGTGCATTTCACAAACCAGCCTTGTGTGCATGAAAGCTGCCTTTATATTTAAGAATTGGTGTTACGTGGCCAAATAAGGCCTTGAGAGAATGTCGAAAGAACCAAATTAGACTTTTCTTCATCTTAATGAGTACATTTTCATATTTATCATTTTTTACAAGCAGATCTTTTTGAATAGAATAGAATGCCTTTATTGTCACTATACACATGTACAATGAGATTAAGAGCAGCTCCTTCAGTGCAACATAGAATAAAGTACAAAATAAAGAGCAAAAAAATAAAAAATAGAAGAGATTTAAGTATAAAATAAGATAAGTTATATATACAGTATAAGTTATATGTACAGTATGAATTTAGAAAAATATTGTACAGCATAGTCATTGACGATATTGCACATTTGTAGAGTTTACAGTAGGTGGATGTGAGGTAGATTGTGGGGGGCTGGGTTGTAGAGCAATAATTTATCCATGCACTTTAGAGATTCAGCTACAACTATTTAAATATAGGAAAACTGTGAAGTCATAAAGTTTCTGCATGTTTAAAATTTCCAAAAGAAAAAAAGCAAAGACAATCTGTTATCAGTCGAACTTTGTCCTGAGAGTGTGTTGGCCACTGAGATCTGAAATCATCGTCTCTAAAAAGAGTTTAGGGGTGTTTTTATTTCCCCATCACGAAGACGTCCAGTCTGTGAGACACGCTGTAGGTACACTCCAGTGAAAAATGTTCTGTTGACACAATTTCTATTTATGTATTTTTAATCAAACATACCTGAGATTCCTTAATCTTATCAGCCAGCAGCGGTAACACAGACTTATCTGGGATAAATAAATATCAGCTGATAATATTACTCTGCTGTTTTAAGGTTGAATTAGACGGGATGTGTTTACTGAAGCACTACAAAACGGCATTTAGTTGATTTTTACATTTAAAAAAATGGACTGCCATAATGTTCTGATAAAAACAACACGTCACAGTGAAGCGTTTCCTACTTCACGTAAACAATTCAGTGTTTCTCAGCCAAGTGCACCTGATTGGATCAGCGCTCCGTCCCAGCTATCTGGGTTAGTGGTTCAGTAGAGTAGGCAGATAAAACCCATTTCTGATCAAAACGCTCACACTTGACCCCCTCTCTCCCTCTTTTATTATCAATATTGAGCCTAAACAACAAAAGCACGGATCCACTTTTTATGTCGTGTTTAACAAACCGCTGGTGAAACACAAAGAGTCGAGAAAAACAGACGTTTGGTTGGCTTGTCATAGAAGATGTGTAGGGAAGTGGAAGTCCATCTCCCTGAGGGCTGAGGGTCCACCTGTGAGGCCGCTCAACCTGCAGGAAAGATTAGTAACGCTGACTAGGTTAAAGCTGCTTAAGGCCGGACAGCTGCTTCTGCTCTGCATCACCTGAAGCACCTTCCACGCCAACAAATAACCACTGCTCGCTGTGAGTCGACAATATGACAAAGCACTGCTGAAATGTGTATTCACAGACACCAGCTAAACAAAGTCAAAGTTCACCAGGCAGGAACCGCTCCATTACCATGACATGCTAATTCTACAAACTTCATTTGGTTTGCAAAGGTCTGCGCTCTACATACCGCTGAGAGCAGCCGAGTGATGCCTAGAAGGCCGAGGCCGACTTCTATATCTAGGAGTGTCTAATAAATATGTAATAAGACTCATCTCACACGCCAGACCCCCTCTCTCACATCTAACTTACCAGTAGACATAGTAGGCCATTGCTATGACCACCATGGCCCCACAGATCCCAGTGAAGATCATGACAGCACTCTGGTTCAGCATCTTGGCTCCTGGTATTCCACCAATTCAAAGCCAGAAAAAAAGCCTAAAGAAAAGGCCTGCGGAGAGCCGAGGGTATGGTCACAGGCTGTCCTGCTTCATAGCAGCATGATAATCCCACCGAAGGAAAGAGGGAGATTATGATGATGACAGCAAGAACACAGCCAGATCCCAGGACCTGTTGAAGGAACTGCCTGATCAGCGCAAGAGTTCGCTGTGGAGCAAAGTGCTGCCGAGGAACACGCTTAAAACTACCAAAAAGAGC